TAGGCAATTTTCAATCTCTTTTCTATTTATGACAGTAATAAAGCGACCGGGAAAAGTCAACAATCAATTTTGTATTTCAATTTATTCCCAACCATCCTAGTTCGTGCGGTGATAAGAAAAAGAAAAACGCGTTCATTGAAAACGGAAATTATTGCAAGAAGCCATCAGTGGTGTGCGCCCGGCTTACGCTGTTTTATGTTTTATTTTATATATATTTTTTTTTCACCGAACGGTTTCACAGTTTTGATTTGTGGGCCGTCGCGTCGGCCGGTGCCATTTTTCACGCGTCTCATTGTGTCGTTCATGCTCGAAGAGGCCGATTGCAAAGGTTTGTTCACGCGACGCACCTTTATTGAATGTTTCCATTTGCATATATACTAGATAGCAAACGTATTTCTACTGAGTGTTGCTAGTTTTACATAGTACGCTCTTTAAAGGTAATACATGTCTTGTTTGGAAACTCGAACGATTTATTTATGCGTTATGCTACAAATTAGTAACAATAATTGCTTACAATTTCCATTTATTTTATGGCTTATAAACATCGGTACGCTTCATTTAAAGAAAATTCGATCATATTAATAAACATGAAATATATAAGGAAATATAATAAACAACAGAAATGCACGAACAGATTACGAGAACCATACATTTTCCGGATAAAAAGTAATCTATTTGTTATTCTGATGTATGAACTATATTATTGTAAAGTTTCATCAAAATCCAATCAGTAGTTTTTGTGTACTAAGCTGTATAAGTTACTATAGTTTTGTGACTATCCTACGGTAACTCCTTAATTTTCTGGGATGAAAAGTAGCCGATTTTTTTGTCATGTATGAAATATATTATTGTAAAGTTTCATTAAAATCCAATCAGTAGTTTTTGTGTACTAAGCTGTATAATTTATTATAATTTTTTAACTATTCCACGGGAACTCTTTAATTTTTCGGGATGAAAAGTATCTAAGATGTTGCCTGGGGATATAAGGTACCACCATGCAAAATTTCATTTAAATCGGTCCAATAGATTTGAAGATTAGCCTGACAAACAGACAAACAGACAGAGAATCAAAAAAAAAAGATTTGTTCTATTTGTCTTCTTACACCCCCCTGGCTCGGTTTTTAACATTTTTTTCTGTGTACAGATATTCGACCTCTACATTTTTATTATAGTATAGATATTGCTGTTATATACCTACATATTTGTTATTTCTGTATTTTCTAATTTCTTTACTACATTATAAGAATAATATATATTTACTCTTCTCTGTAAAAGTATAAAAGTGAACCTTTAATAATGAAAAAATAATAAAAAGTTCAATCAAAAAAGTCTGAGACAAAGTAGAAGCATGAGTCCAATTATTATTAATATGAAAAAATATATACATAAACAGAACGAACCATAAATCGCTGTGGAGCGTGTTCCTTACAAGCGTTGTTGTTCGCTGATAAAATTAAAGATGATATCGATAACAGTTCTATCAAACGGTACGCGAACTTCGGGGGCGAAGAGCCAGGAAATTGAGATGATTTTTCTACTCTTTACACATTTTCTATAGGAATGTAACGTTAGTCAAAGTAAACAAAATATATGAAAATAACTTAAATAATGAAAAATTTTGCCGTTATTTATTTATTCTTTGTCTTTGTTACAGTTTAATTTAACATTTACTAAACAAATATAGCACCATATAATAATAACTAATTGTTTATACGTTAAATATGACGTTATTATTTATATATATTGTATTCCATGATTACACACAAATACTTCTATGTAAGTACTAGCGTTATAACGTTTAGTATAGATTTCTTAGAGAGAGATATTTTCTCGCAATAAAAAGTATCCTATATGTTGACTCGGATAACCAGCTATCATTATACTAAATTTCATTAAAATCCCTTCAGTGGTTTTTCCATGATGCGAGCACAGACAGATAGACAAAAATTCTAAAAACTATAGATTTGGCCTCAGTATCGATAATAACGTCTATTTCAATAAGATTTTCCAAAAAATATTTAATGTATAGTTTCAACTCAGTTAGAATTTTATTATATTTATAGATTTATTTAGGAAAAAATAAACTTTTTTAAGACGTTATCCCACCTCCACCTTTATACACCCATAATAGTGTGAAACCCCATAGAATAAGCTTTTTGTTAGATTCTATCGTTAAAATAATTATACAATATGTATTTTTTGCATGAAACTCTAGCAGAAGATACGCACCTATCACAAATCTAACAAACCCTCTATACATGAATCCAATTGGAACTTGACCGAATTTGATAATATCAAAAAATATAATACACTGAGAATATTATAAAGAAATATATACTTAAACCCTGTATTTTTACGTGTTGTCTGTACTATTTTTCACTACAATGTCAAAGATAATATACATATTTCAAGTGTTGTGATGCTCTGTATGAAAGGTATGATCCCTATTTAACCAACACTCACAAATAAAAGGTTACAAATTTCCGCTACACCCTTAACCTTTGATACTACTTGCTGCCGACAAATATTTACCCTTGGTAATTCATATCTTTCCTTAAATATTTTAACATTATTGTATTTGAATAATTTCGCTTTTATTATAGGTACTACTTGATTTTGTATAAAGATAACAACTATCTTGTTATTTTAATTCTTTTGAAAGCATAATTAAATACGATTAATATTATAATCATTCTACAAATAGAGTAAACATTAGTTTTTATTATATTAAATATTTCTGTTTGCATTTTGCACATAAATGGAAGATGAAATAAGTCTACCAGTATTATTGCCCGCGGCTCCGCCCGCGTTCAGATTACAAAAAACCAAATTCTTAGGTTTTACATATTAGTATACTCTTACAATGCAGTTTTTGTATTTTTTCTCAGAAATAAGATATTTTACCGCGGTAAAAAGTATCCTATATGTTGACCCGGATAACCAGCTATCATCATACCAAATTTTATCAAAATCCCTCCAGTGGTTTTTCCGTGATGCGGTAATAGTCATACTGACAGACAGACAGACAGACAAAAATTCTGAAAACTATAGATTCGCCCTCTGTATCGATAATAAGGTCTATTTCAATAAGATTTTCCAAAAAATATGTAATGTACAGATTTGGGTTTCTTAGAATTTTATTATATATTATACTCCTGTAAAGAGCATTAAAAAGTTTGACTGCAATTGTTTCCTAAGGACGGTTAGCCTATTGAAAGTCATCGGTAGTTTATGCGAAATTTTCCCGTATGCGTCGTTGCTCTACAATAAGTACGTAAAATACTCTACTACAACAGATATGGCTTCACAGTGGCCCAGTGCAGCTTATTCATATAAAGAACTAGTTTATTTATAGTCATATTAAATGATAATACTTGACTTTTGTGTTAACTTGTATGTTTTAAAAGGTAGGTGGTATGAAATAAAATAAAATTTTATTTTGAACAAGGCTTTAATCAGCTACTTCTTTGGTCATATCATTGGTTTGGAAAGAATCTGACACATTGTGTTCACAGTTTAGCAACATTTTATACAATAGGAATGCATGAGATTTTACCTACGTAAATGCGGAAATATAACTTATCAATACACAATAAGAGGATTTGAAATATTTCTAAAAAAAAACTAATTTGAACTATTCTGATTAATCATGAAATTCAAATATTTATTCAACATTCATTTCCACATTTCACTATATTTAATAATTCATATACACTAATGTTTAGTAATTTAATGTAAGATACAATAGACTACTTATGATTACATTTTATTTACATAAATAATACAAACATCATAACAATGTTTATAGTTAAACTTAACATTTAATATACAATATAGGTACAAAACGAAATAACAATGTGGCGAGCGCGAACTGTGAAAAATAAATTTTAAAAATGGCCAGGCCAACAATTATTTGCTAAACTAAATGCCATAGATAACTCAAAAAGAAGTATAACCATCTATATTGCATTAGCTCGCTTAAATATTGATACACAATCATACAATAAAGAAGATTGAACTTTAATATTTACATCGAAACATATAACTATTACTAAAAATTTCAGATCGTGTATAAATACGATGAAAATTCCTCCTCGCGTTTTATTACTCTTTGACCTAGCAGCAGTCTCTCCCGCGTATTTATTTGTTATATCGGGCTTTTTCTATCGCAGAACATTATTCTAAATCGAGATTGCATTATGAGATCATCTTATGAGATAAAATTCATTATACTTTTAATCTATCTAACATGATTCACAGGAAGAAATTGTCCATTCCCATTTTGGCATTAATAACAAGTATTCAAGAAATGACAATATTTTTTCAAATTTACAATATAATCGCAAAAAAAAATATTAAAAATAAAAATAACATATAAATATGTCAAAAACGTTTTTGAACCATGAAATTCGTTCATGTTTTGAACTTTCATCGATAAGGTTATTTTATAATATTATCAAATGATTTTTTTACTGCAATTTATCTCATTAATATAACATATCGAACTTGCTATTACTTTTATTTCCTCAGCGATATATAGGAATTAATTCAATTTATTTGCAAATCTAATATTAAATATACTAGAAAGTATACTTAAACCCCATTATTTTGGGAAGTAAAATATTTATTTAACCGTCAGAACTTTTACACTTAGACTCACACATTCGATTGACTTCGATTCGATGGACTCGGACCAACGCCACGTGTGTCGATCTCGTAATTCCAACAATCCCATCACATATTTAAACTTGACTCGTAATCGTCATAAGTAACACTCAACATTGATCTACTGATCTAACAATTCACACATATTTGGATAGAAGCGTCTAATGGTACTCAAAGTTTTGGTAATAAGACTTTATCAATTTTGATACTTGAAATCAATAACACCGAACATTTATTAGCACAAGCGAAGAGTTCATACTTCCGGTACATATTTGACTCGTTTAGTTTTGATATTTCATGTAAGGGTGAGCCGCGTCTCACGCGCGATAATCTCAGCTGGACGCGGACAGGCCCAAGGGCTTCAGGTGTGGAGGGAACGGCGCAGGAGATGAATTCATGTTGTTGTTCAAATCTCCAGAACGACTTGAACCGTTCATTAGTGCCATGGCATTGCTCGTCTGTTAAAAAAAATAATATATAATACTATCTTTTATGTATTTTCTACAAGTCACCAAATTACAAACCTACAATTAGATGCAACAACAATACACCCATACATGATACGAAATTAAAAATAATTTCAAGGTATTAATTAAATGTTCATATTATAACGTGTATTTTATTAGTAGTTCAAAGATGACTGTCACAAATGAGAAATCATCATTATTCAAGGATAAACCTCAATGTAGAGTTCGGTTAATATCTAATTAGCATCTCAGAATTGAATTAGCTATTATATTGCACTAACTAATTAAACTTCACAATAGTCTATAATATCTTGAAGCTTCATAACAACAGCTGTAGAAAAACTATTTTTTTGTTCTTTTCAATATATGTACATACTTTTGATTAAAAAAAATATTTTTTTTAATAAGGTAATAATAATAATGATAAAATATAAAACTTACCGGAGGTGGAGGTAGGTGGGTAGTTTGCCTCTTAAGATGCGATAGTGGTGGTGGATTGTATGCCATATTAGCAAAAACCAAACGCTCTTCGTAGTCGTATTCGCATAAAATCTTGTTTTCACATAAATAGAAGCGATCACCCACACAGAATCTGTTAGACAAGAAAATTTATTTAAGAATATTGTTTTATTACATCTATACTAATATTATAAAGAGGCAGAGTTTGTTTGTGTGTTAGAACGTGCTAATCCCAAGAACTCCTAATCCGATTTAAAAAAAAATCTTTTTGTATTAAATAGCCCATTTATTGAAGAAGACTATAGGCTACGTATCATATTATAGTCATATAGCCATATAATCTATCCATTCGATACTAACCGGTAAAACATAAGTACTTAGAGACGAACATGATCGAAGCGAGGGTGCAAGTCTCCAGTAATCTATAACAGTATATTCATCACCTACTTAAAATAAAGCGTTCGTCTGCACAGTTTAGTTTTCCAGATATTCTTTAAACGAAGTAAAAAGAAAAAAGAATTTATGACGGTGTAACTAATTTAAAAAGTTAGTTCCAGGAATCAGTAAAAACATAGATACTATCACATCGTATATTTATCAACGATGAAGAGTAACGGAAGCCGAAAAAAGCAGAAAACGTCTAGAAATAAAATTTACTGCCATCAGTGGAAAGGTCAACTTGAACAAGGAACAAGATAACGTCAAGCGAGCGCGCATCCCTCAATGTGGCAAAACAAAAGGTATCGCCTTCGACTCGCCACTGGCCGCCCGGAACCGCCGGTGATAACACAAAACCTTATCTTTTCACTCCACTCCCTCCTACGTCTTCCACCCCCGCGACTCCTGCCACCCTGCCAACTCTTTTGTTTCACTTGTCACAAAAATTAAGCGCAATAGCTCGGCTACAAATGTCTCTTTTTTAAAGGGCCAATTTCCACCGCAACTCAGTCGATTTCGCCGCTCTTAATTAACTTTATTTCCTGTTCTCTCCATTCCCGACTTTTGTTTTTGGGGGTTGTCTTTTTTATTTTGCTATTTTTTTGTCTGCAGTCGCGTAATGGAAAAGATGTAGAACGAAATTTTAATGACTGGGTGCAAGTTAAGCTTTGTGCGGCGCGCCATTGTGACGCGACGACTGCGACGCGAAGTTTGACGTTTTACGTAATCGGACGTGTCTATTAACTGTTTGAAACAATACCGTGGAAAACTGTTAAACATTTGACAGCAAGCACAAATGATGAGTGTTTTTTAAGGTGATATTTACTGAGCATTTTTATGAAATATGTATTTATTAACTTTCAATAATTGTTTTCTGTAATAGTATTATTTTTTTACCTGTTGTACTATTCTACACAACAGATAAAATAATATATTCATTATAATATTGTGTTATCCCTAGCTATTATTTTTTTTTTGTAATGTACAGTGTTATAAACTTATATACGATTTTATTTATCAGTAAATTAAAATAAAATTACAATGAAGCACTATGCACCCATGCAGTTGTTATTAGTACTTGAAAATAATAGAATATTTTGCCACGCTTATCATATATATTAATATAAAATTATAATTGGCGTTACAAAAATATTATCAATACTTATTTATAATTTGAATTATTCAAGATACCTTTTTTTATATAAATGACACATAGAGCATTGTTATAAATTAATTACTTGTATATATTTTTATTAATCATAAAAATTATAGCAAAAGATAAATCGCCTAGGTAGCTGGTAGGTTCGCAGATCTGCGCTTCCGTGTCCGCCGCGGGCGCGCCGCGTCGGATTGCTACTAAATTATTTAGTCGCTTAGCGATATTCGCCTGATATCTGCCGGCCGCCGCTTCAATCGGACAGCCCGCAAATTGGATTCAGATTTCTGCCCGGTGGAAATTGATTTGTACGTGATATTTAATAGCCTGCCCGTATTGTTAGGTAAACATGTATAAATATGCAAAATGATTTTCATCCTTTTTTTTGCATTTTGCACAAAACTATTTGTCATTCATTTTTGTTAAGTGATTTGTTATGTGTAGAGAAATGAAATTCATGCAAAATTTATGATTACATACATATATATATATATATATATATATATATATATATATATATATATATATATATGCATGCTTATTGTAGATTATTACTGTGTTATTACAGCAGTTACTTTAAACTGACTTTATACTGTAACATCGTAGAATGATCGTGTGTTCTCTTTTAATATTCCGTTCCAATCCCCTGTAGATTGGCCTACGAGCCCAAGTAACAGTGGAATGAATATACAATACGACACGCGAGGTCTGCCAGCGCAAGTGGCAAAGGTCCACAAGTGACGTATAAACCATTCAGAGTGGCTCCAATCTCGCGACCTTTCTATTATTTAAACGGACACTGCAAAGAGATTGCTGTTCGCGCCCGCTATCTTATTCGATATTTTAAGCTGTTTTGTTTGCAAATTACATGACTAAAATACTATTTGGAAATAGAAATGTTTTCTATTTGGAACCTTATTAAAAATTGAAGATTAAAATAAAATTGAAAACTGGTTGGTATCATAATATATAAGTACTATAAGTCTACAATGTATGGTTTTGCAGTAACTAATCATAATCCGATATTAAAATATTATTATAACATATATGTACTAGCGACTCACCCTCGCTCCGCTCGGGTTCGTCCCTAAATACTTTTAAATGTTTAATATAGATTTCTCAGAGATGAGATATTTTTCCGCAGTAAAAAGTATCCTACATGTTGACCCGCATAACCAGCTGTCATCATACCAAATTTCATAAATATCTGTCGAGTGGTTTTCTTGTGATGCGGTCACAGACAGACAGACAGAGGACAAAAATTCTAAAAACTATTGATTCGGCCTCTGTATCGATAATAATGACTATTTCAATAAAAAAAATGAAGAATATTTAATGTACTGATTCGACTTAGTTAGAATTTTACTACCTATATGTATCGATTTGGAAACTTTCAGTAGTTATATTTTAGTCATTTAATATTTCATAAACTAGGTACTACTACTACCATAAATGTGTAATTTATTGTAGTATCGACGGATTCATTAATAAGTTTATATTCCACTTGATGCATCATCGCTCAGCTCGATAACTGAGAGAGCGCGGGGAAATCAAGCTCAGTTTACTTCTGTTTGCCGACTACCAATACGCTTCATGTTATAAAACGATTTCTAGTGACGATATATTTCATCTATGCTTGCGGTATATGTGATACAATGGTAATATATTTATAATTAATACTGAACAATAATATAATTTAAATGACTGTCCTTTAAATATATATATAATGATACATAAATAATATATATTTATTCATTTATCATATAAAATAATTTAACACGTCGCTAAAGAGAAGGCACTTATTAATTTAATTCCATTAAAAGTAAAAAAAAAACAAATAGCTGATTTTATATGACATATTGAATGTTTTTAAAAAATTATATAAATTGAAAAATTTTAAAAACCCTCTACGCAAATTAATTGTCATTTAACGATTACACTGGCAAGTGTGAAGCACTTAATCGAGTAATCATACGCCAAAATTACTAAAACCATTTTGGAAAAGAACTGATACTCTTACACTGCTGGACCGATATTAACCAAACATAGCTAAGAACCACCGCAAGGAAACTGGCTTTCAAATGAAAAAAACCGCATTGAAATCATTCCATCCCTTTGAGAGCTACGATGCCTGAACACCCCTCTTTTTGCGTCGTGGGTTAAAATAATATAATAGTTGTCGCAGTGTAGTAGTATTTAGTTCCGAATAGGACTGCCCATTGAGCTGGAGGTTAGAGGTTTGAGTTCCTTGCGAATTGAATTGTTGTAATGACAAATGGCGATAAAAATTGCTGGCTACATTCACGTAACAAGTTTTTCACGCAGCACTTTCATAGTAATGGCAAGCCCGAGAACAAATACAGTAATAATTATTAACACAGTCTATCTTAAAGAGAACGTACGTTAAGTAAATTTGAAAATTAGTGTTTATCATACTAATAAAAATAATGAGTGTATGTTTATTTCTCCTTCATTCAATAACGGCATCAACATTAGGCCTTTAATAGGAGTCGCGGGCAGTAACTAGTTAAGTTTAGTTAACTTTTGAATAAAAAAATTTAGTACCTACATTTTGTATCAGCACGAATTCTTAAGTATGATTCATCTCTATAGCTTTCACCGTTCTATGAAATGTGTTTAATAAAAGACAAGTTTATACTCGTACAACGCACAAAAACAATCGCGAGTGTTTTAAAAGCAAATTTCCTTTGCATGTAGCTTCTTATGTAGCGGAAAATTTAATCGCGCTCTTTGTTTGTCGTCCGTGAGTTGAATAAAGCATACGGAGCGGCGCTACAGAGTATAGCTGTCCCTCTCACTCATCACATTATTGTGAATATTTTATCTCGTTCACAAAAGAAGTCCCAAACTGGACTTGTATTCAATATAGCAACGTCCCTGCTCAATTTTCACGGCGCAATCGCTTTTGACAGGAGAGAAAATTAAGTGAGCTCGCGTCGTAAATCCGCTCTGATGCGATAAATGTGGAAAGTATTAAAGATTCATATTGCCAACTGAACTAAATATAAATATTATTATTTTACTTAAGATGCTTATTTAATAAAAATAATAGTTACAAAACTATTAACATAAACTTAATCAAACAACGTTGAAATATCTATGTCCATTACTACATTATATTCTCACTCTCGTTACTTGGTGGATTTCTTACTGTGGATTTCAAAAGTAAAGCAAATAGTAATTTAGTTAAAAAAATTGGCATTTATGCGAAGCACTCACAATAATTAGAGCTCAGAGAAAAATGTAAATGTTAAAGAAATGTATGTATTCTATAAGAATTACCTACTTTATGCATTAAGTATGATAAATATTGATTCTGTATTAACCAATGATATAGAGAAAATAATTATATATTTTCTTGACATTTAAACATTTGAAAATTGGCAATTAAACGTCTACACACAAAAAATATAACTTACCTATGATTACATTGTTGGCATGCGAAGCATTCGAGATGGTAGACATTGCTGCGCGCGCGCATCACCATTTCAAATGCTGGAATCACTTTGTTGCACGCAGCGCAATACCCGGTGTTGCCGAAAAGCCTGATAAACGTATAAATTATTAAATAAAAGTATTATTATTAAATAATACTAGGTATATCTTGTATAATACCTAAAATGAGAACCAGCTAACAAATTTTATTTTGAAATATCTATTATTGTATAACATAAAAAAATAAATTGCTATTTAAATTAAGTTTACAGTACTTTAAATAAACAGAATTTACTTGTTTAAATAAACGCATAAAATAAACACTTAAGGTATATCATACTCGTACATAATAAATATAAAATTTATAAAATATTAAATAATAAATTTTGTTGGGACATTAACATACAGCGCCGTCTAGTTTCATGGTAAACTACGAGGCTTGTGTTATGGATACAAGATAGTTGATACACTACGAGTATACTTGTACATATAAGGGAACCTTGTAAGTATTATTTCATTTTTGTAGTTTTACCTTTACATAGACTATAGTAGTATATTGATATAATAGTAACATAATATTAATGATATCTACTAATTATTATTTAACCGACCAGTTTAGATAACATTTTTTAATATAAAAAAATCAAAAGTGTCGCTTACCTCAAATAATCCCTCTTGCAGAGTATCAAATTAGCCCGCGTGTACAATGTGTGTCCAACTTCACCAAGGCGACAGTCACAACAACCACACTTCAGGCAGTCCTCATGCCAGAGCTGATCAAGAGCTTTCAACAAGTACCGCTCTGTAATCACTTTGCTGCATCCTGCGCATATCTGAAAGTAAAATCCACTTTATAACTTTGATCTACAAAGCTGTTTCCGCCATTTCAGAAATCGCGAATAAAGTTTTTATTACTAGATATTAGTAGAAAGTGGAAATCTTCATTGTAGTGTAACATTCAGTTATTTTATGTGCCAGTTTGTAGATTTTGACAATAGATTTTTGATATGTCAAGTGGACAGTGGGTGATTCGGATTATATGAGTTAGGAATATAAAATATAAATGTAAAATGAGTATACAGGAAAAGCGAGAAATATGATTGTTAATTGCCAAATATTTGTCTTCCTGGAAAACCCTTCTGAGCTGTTTTAGTAGTTTGGAAAAGCCACTAATAGCATACCACAATTAGTCGACGCAATCTAGGTAAAATTAGTTAAAAAAAAGGTGTGTGTGTGAGAAATTCACACACGGTAGAAGTGAAACTTCAGAAAAGTAATCTACGAGAGAAAGAAATGAATATAGAGTATCAGGATTAGGATAATATTGTAAGGTTAATTTTTTTTTAATAATATTTTTACCAAGTTTAAAAGTTATTTTACAAGTTATTTTAATATATCCTGTGTAATGTATTCTATCTCATTCTATCGCCGGCTTAATCCTATACATTTATTTGTTTGTCTCTTTTTCGTGACGTATTTTCGTTTCATCGAGTTTCAAATCACAACAATTCTAAAGAAGTTTCACTTTAAAAATTGATTACAAAAGGAGCTTACCTGAGGCTGTGGGGGCTGGGCAGATGTAGCACTGGCACTTTGAGCGCCGGCTGGCAAGGGGGACGCCCGAGCCTCCTTGGTCACATCCATGGCTAACATGTGGGAGCCGAGCCCTGGACTGCCGCCTGCCTGTTGCGGCGTCCGCCTTTCGCACTGCTATATAATTTGAAAATTAGTTATTTTTTACAATATAATGCCTCATTTTGAAACAATTATAACTTTTATTAATTTATCGGACTACTATAATAAGAGGGAAAGTTTGTATGTCTGTACGTGTTTGCGTGTCTGTGTATGTGTTTGTTTCTACTTCTTGTAGATTTGGATGAAATTCAGTAGGTACACAGATATATGAAACTAAAGTAACACATTATGCTGATAAATCTAATGTTGGCCCCAGCGAAACGATATTTGCAATTAAATTCTTCAATATTTATTTTGTTATAATTTACAAAAACACAAATAAAAACTATATTGATATTGAATCATGGCTCTCTCAACTAGACGGTTAAGGCGACATTTTTTATAATTATAACAAGAATTAGGTCAATGCTAACCGTAACACTTTAAAAATAACAAAAAATCCGATGTTATTATAGAAACTTTTAATTAGCTGGCACTATTCAGTTATTGTTGTCGCAAAAGCTTCTTTTCTCTACAATTTATATTCTTTAAACTTAATTACTTGAATAAAGCTACGTCTTGACGGTTAGTATAGAGTTCTCAAAGATAAGATATTTTTCTGCAGTAAAAAGTATCCTACATGATGACCCGGATAACCAACTACCATCATACCATACCATTTTAAAATCTGTCCAGTGGTTTTCTCGTGATGCATTCCTAGACAGACAGACAGACAGACAGACAGATAAAAATTCTAAAAACTATGTATTCGGCCTCTGTATCGATAATGTTTATTTCAATAAGATTTTTCAACAAAATATTTAATGTACAGATTTGACTGAGCTAGAATTTTATTATATAGAAAATGGATAGATTGTTAAGTATGTTACGTGATACAAATATATATTACAAATTGAGACAGAAGTTTATTGAGCCATCTTATCAGTACTGTACGATGTAAATTCCATGAGCATAAAATTTATCGGCTATAATAATTCTAAAAAATTAGCACAACTAGTCAACCGATTAATGAGAACGCGAAACATGACTCCATTTCCGAACTATAGCAAATTATGTGCTTTAAAATATCGAATAAAAACAGTAATTTAAACCAGTCGGATCAAAAACCTGGTCCACGGTAAGCAATAAAGCCAAGCACGAAGCGCCGTCGTCACGCTTAATTAACACTTTAAATACGAACACTTTTCAATTAAATTTGTAGACTACGGACGTGCTCGCGTGCTTTATTGTTTTATTTTTAAGCACCATCCAGAGTAGCATGTAAAAATGTTGGGGCAAATAATTCACACCACTAGCATTAACTAAAAATTGTATTACAAGATATATGGTGTACTTCAGAACTAAGTAGTGTTTTTCCACTGCTCTATCCGCATAATTCATTTATTACTCTAATGTGTAAGCTATATTACTGTAAAGTTTCATCAATATCCGTTCAATAGTTTTTGCATGAGAGAGTAACAAACACACGTACATATATTACAATACATACATTTTAAAAAAGCAGTCATGAGGACTGCCGACAGAAGTGAAAACTTAAAACTATAAACAAACTAGTGGTAATTTTGAATATTCAAATTAATAGTTTGATCTTAAATTAAAATTCATATATTAAAACTGTTTACGTTTATCTGGTTTTGACATCTATCGGCTCTTTGAGTGTTAGCGTTAACACGTCACGTGACCATGTCGATGGCGGTTTACATGGATTTACTCCCCATGCAAACCTGCCTATAGAAGTTTTCACTTCAAAAATTAAATACTATATATTTTTCTCGTGGTGGTTTAATTACTTTCAAACGGGGTTTATCTTAGTCTAAATTAAAAGCATTATATGATATACGAAAGTTTGTTTGTATTTGTATATTATTTACTCCTTCACACTGAAATGGCTGGAGGAATCCAGATGATTCATTATACACAAATAAACTATGACCTGGAGTAATAGGTAGTATAGGCTACTATTAGACACCTACAAACGTAGTCAAACGAAGCAAGATATTCATAAAGCGAGTTTTTTTTATATATTCATTTAATTGCTATATATGTATGTATAACAGTATAATGGTACTGGAAAAAATTTTGCGGCATACTTTCTAGCTTAGAACAAATCCGGTAAAGAACAAACTGCCTGAAACAATACGAGGCACTGTGAGTCCATGACGAATGGCGGGAGCCGGTCATTTTTGTATGTTTTGGACCAATCCGGCCATAAATAATGGGTCCGGATATTGACCGGAAACATGCACACTGCGTTCTAATTTGTGACAATGATTGTTTACTCTACGAAAACTAATCAACTGACATAGTATTAAATGTCGAAATACTTTTCAAATTATTTAAAATCGACCTACAACTTTATTTTCTTATAAAATATATTATTATTATTATTTAAACATTCATAAAATCTACATGCACTATTGTAATGGTGATACAGCACGTGTAAATTATTGCTCACAATGCTGAAATAAAAGATTATAAATCAGTGGCAAGTGCTTAAATTACAAGTCGCAAATTGTGATATTTAATATCCACACGTGGCTCTGTAATTTATATATTATACAAGCATTATTTTATACAATATTATATATATTTTTTTGTTTTATGAGCATATGAACCTTTTCATTGTTCTCTGAATAAGACCATCGATTACACTCGAGTGAAAAGAATTTAATTTTGAACGAACGTTAACTTGATTTCGAGCGATTGCGGACAGTCGTGTCAATTTGTGTCGTGCTTCCTGTCGGCGAATGTCGCGCGATGTAAATCACTATGCAAAATAATAATGTGGTTACTGAGTATTTCATAAAAATGGACGAATTCGATTCAATTACATCCACAACTTACAAATGCGAAACGATAATATGTATTATATATTCGCTATACAATAGATGAGCAACTATATCCTGTATTTTAATGTAGACAATCGAATACCTATACATATAATAAAATTCTAAGTCGAATCTGTACATTAAATATTTTTTAGGAAATCTAATTGAAATAGACATTATTATCGATAGAGAGACCAAATCTATAGTTTTTAGAATTTTTGTCTGTCCGTGTGTCTGTTACCGCATCACGAGAAAACCACTGGACAGATTTTAATGAAATTTGGTATGATGATAGCTGGTTAACCGAATCAACATATAGGATATTATTTACCGCGGGAAAATATCTCATTTCTGAGAAAAAATACAAAAACAAAAACTGCATTGTAATAGTATACTAATATGTAAAACCTAAGGATTTGGTTTTTGGTCACCTGAACGCAGGCAGCGCCGCGGGCAATGCTAGTAATATATAATTTCGATAAATCATAAGCTACTCTAGCTTACTTATATATTTAATAAAAAGAATAAAAAAATATATACAAATATTTTCCTTTGAAAATAATATAAAAAATCAAAAGATTGCATTTCACGCCAGATTTTGAAGTGGACAGGCCATGAAGCGAGGCATCGTGAATAATTACCGGTCGAGAAGTGACAGCGACATGCCACACCACTTCGAAAACAACCCGTAGCGAATGCAGCCAGCAGAGATTAGGCGCAAAAAAGCTCACGCCTTCCATTAGCATTGACTTTCGAATGACAATACGCACGAATTAAGATTTAACGAACAGCCGCGCATCGTAGGAAATAAAACTACGTAAAGTATTTACCGATTCGATCGATTGATATCTATAGCAATGAACAGTCGAGTAGCAGTGGTCTATAGAGTTAGCGACTTGCTGTGATTTCCGTGCTCTGTCCTCCGAGCGGGCCGCGAGGGACGGTAGCTTCCCGCACCGACGTTAATGATTAACACAGACGCGGTCCGAGACCAATTACGCTCTGCCACCACATTCCAAATTAGAAACTATTTTCGCCCATTAGTGGCCAACTTCATAATCAATTACACGTTAAAATTTCACAGCGCTGTTTCGGGAGCTCTATGTTTGGATAATCGGAGTTTGTGGTCCCACGGCGAGCTATTACGTGGCTGTACGGGTCATAAAGGTTTTTGTTTCGCTGTCGGAAAATTTTAATGCATGTTTCGAATGCATTTAACTGTGGAGCCAAAAGTTGCAGTCAAACAAATTAATTTCTATATGAGAAATAATAGCCGTGCAATCACAGTTAAAGCTATATAGTCGTTGAAATAATTGTTTTTGTCGTTGAATATTTTGAAAATGTGATTTTTTACAATGATATGGTCGAAAAATATATTATATTTTCGTATAGCTATACTTTCAGATTTGTGTACTTAAATAAGCTAGTGTAGAGCTAATAAGGGAAATCTTTGAGTCCATTTAAGGCAGACTGTAATAGGATTGAGTGCACTCTGCTAATCATAATTCATCAGCGAGATTAAAGAATAAGCGCGACGAGGGAGATTGCGCCCCCCGTGTGGGAGAGACAATATGATTGCCACACCTGCGGAAACAGCTAAAGTAACGAGGCGGGCTAAATAATTCAACCAGCTAACTTGTCTTAAACTATGCTTCACTTTATTTATTCTTCTGGCCATAAGAAAAAAATTAGTTCCTAAGACCTTTGTCCTAACATAATAAAAAGACGATTTCAAAAAAATGGACTAATGATACGAATAAAGTCTATTTATAATAACAATTAAATGGATAATAATAATAAAATTATTTTTTTAATACATTTTTATAAATCAATTTATTTTATAATAAATCCTGGAAATCATTTGGTATTTACTAGTATTATTTTATTATTAATTAAACTATACGTTTATTGTTTACATATTCTCATTGTTTTTAGGCTCTAATTACCATTTTAAATGGGCGACCTGCGTATATAATCATTGGAAAACTCATTTAATAGCCCCATTAATTTCCAATATACTATGAAAATTCGTTGTTTTCTTTTTGATTATATGATACTAAATCATTTATTTACAACACTTTTACTTTTCTTGTACAGGTAGAGTACCCTTTCCGACGAGACACATAGAGCGGTACTTATTTAGCAGATTGCTTTCCTTTAAGTTGTTCTTTAATCTAGCGATGGTAG